GTCGATGCCGATAGCAGGAAATTCCATTTTTTTCAAGCTTCAAATTGGTTCCTCCATTTTCAAGCTAGTTTCAAACCAGTTTCAAACTCGCCTCTATAGGAGAGGAAGCATTTTCCAGGTACATTTTGGAAAACCCTATTCCTTTGGAGTTCACTGGGATTTTTGATTGAACACCCTGAAAAGTGCTCCCCCCCTATAGAGACGAGTTTGAAATTGGAATTTGAAACTAATTTGAAACTAGCTTGAAAATGGAAGAACCANNCACGAGATTTTCTGCATCTGGAATCAGGACGGGTCTTCTAGGGCTTATTTCAAGGCCTCTCACTACCAAGCGCCTAAAAAGAGAATGGGAACCACATCTTCTTCAATACAATAACGTGATTCCTGAACTATTAATGGACGAAATCCTGCATCGATTTCGATTACGGTCCATCCCTTCCGATTCTTGAATCTTAGTATTGATGTAAAGCCGCTCTTTAAAAAAGGTATGTCGGCGAATGGACGAAATCCTGAATCATGTATCTGTGTCATCAATGTTAATAGTGATCCAGTCAACGTGTCATGCTCTTCTTGCTGTGGCTCATACACGATTTTGTCCACCTAGCGTATCATATATTCATATATAGATTGCTAGTTACATTGATATGAAGAATGTGATTTCCTTTCCTCAATACATAGCTGGATAGATTGAATCTTCGAATATATTCACGATCTTCCATATAATATCATTATCTGAATAAAAGCTATATTTAGATAAGAAACGAAATTTTAGATGCTTAGACCGAATCGTATATTTCCATATTACAACTTGCTAATCGTCTTCTTTATGATCCATACAAATATATTATATGTCTTCCTAAAATATATAAAATGCAGCGGTAGACTTCGACCCTTGAACCAATTAAGAATATAAATAATAGAGACAAGAAGATAAAAGATAAGATCTAAAGAAAAAACTAATAAGAAAAAAAGATATAATAAGAAATACTAATTAAGAAAGAACAAGTAGGAGGTAAGAAATTTTAGAAAAAATAAGTCAAAGACGAGAAATTCAAGAAGAATAAATATGAGATAAAATCTAAATGAATATGGCAAAGAGAATAATTAAGAAAATATAAATAAAAGAATTAAAGAAAAATAAGAATTAAATAAGAATAGATAAAAGATAAGAAAAAAAAGAATAAATAAAGAATAATATTTAAATAAGAAAAACCAAATATATATTAATTAAATTAGAATAGGCAAGAAGTAGTAATTAAACAAGAACAAATAAGAGATATTAAATATACGAGAGTAGATAAAAAATAATATTTTAGCAAGAATAAAAGAAATAGTAATTAAATAAGAATATACAAAGAATAGTAAATAAGAAAAAATTAAATAAGAGACAAACTTATGCCATAAATATAAACAAATATTCCGATCCATTAGAAAAGCTTAGAATCCTTATTTAAATTTTTCGAATTTTAACATTAGAAAAATCACAACCATCCAACAACAAATTTTCGACATATTATATTTAAATTCTTAACTAAATAATTCGATCTGTAAAAATAGATAAAGAGGGTCGTAAATTGTCATTTTCTTTTGTATTAGTCTATATTTATATAATATTATCAATTATATCATTATAAGATCTATATTTCTTTAAAATAGAATAGAAATATATTTCTTATATTCCGAATCGATGAATAATTTTCCGAAATATAAATAACTTTGTAGTATATAATAAACCATTAAGAATATTCATTTTATTTATAAATAGAAATAAATTATAAATATCTCTCCCCACCAAAATAGAATCGAATAGAAATATCCAATAGAAAATATAGAAGAAAAATTAAAGATATAATCAATTAGTTCCAGGGTCGTATATAGACCATTTTTTACGAAAAAACAATAAACGACCGGGCAGAGAAATAAATAACGAATTTCTATCCAAGAAAACAAAAAAATAATAATATAAAAATAACTTTTCAAAATTGTCTAATAAAAATAAAATTAAAAAAATCAAAATATACCTTACCTTATAAAAATGCTTAAAATTTTATAGCTACAGATACATTCTCCTTAAAATTACATAAATATAGAAATTTAAATAATATAAAATTTCCTATAGTTACCAAAATCTCTAAATTTTAATCCCGAGAATTCAAATTAAATATCGCGAATCGAAGATAGATGAGCACAGAATTAACAAAAAATAATCTTTTATTAGAGAATATATATATATATCTTTTCTCAATATAATTTAATTTTCGACATATATATATATTTATATATAATTCTTCTCATTTAAATTCACTGGGTTTTCATTCTATATATATATAAAACAAGAAGAAATAGATGTTTATATAATAATATCAATATTTCGATTTATATCATTAATAATATTTTAGAATTTTTGAAATCATCTTAAATTAGATCAATAGAATCTTAAGAATGAATTCTGAATATTATTAGAAAATAGAAAATAATATTCTTTCTCTATGATATTTTATCGAATAAATCCGATAGGATAATTGTCTGTTTGATATATGGTTTATAAATTTGATGGCCTTCAGTAGATTATTTTAATTCTGTGTATTTGTATATATAGCTCTGAAATAGATTTCGAAATCAATTGCTTCCATCAAAATATAGAAAACCGATATCAATATTAATATTGAGTCATGAAAGGCTACCCAGTCTCCCACTTCTTCCAAGAATTCCTCTGGCTCCCGTGAAATTCCGAAACCCTGACAAAACGAGATTGTGCTGGGCTTTTAAGCATTCGTACACTGCACATGGGTTCTTTGATGTATCGATTTCTCATCTAACGGAAGCCTTAATGCTCATCTCTCGGTACCATGTGCTTACACAAACGGAAAGCTCATGGAGCCCCCAAATTAAAGATCCATCGATTCCTTCAATAGGGATTGCCGATTTTGCGGTGCGAACGCAACGAGCAGCTTCAGCCACTAATCATTCGGCCTGGCATGCCAGTGCAGCATGCCAGTTGCAGCTGATCAGCTGATCCTTACACGCGCTGAAATGCAGTCGAGAAGCTGATACAGAGGTTGTTCGGGATACAGGAATGGATCTCGTTGAGGGGGCGGCTCCTGGCGCATGCATGTCCTCAGACTCGTGTCGCCCGCCGAATCCCATCTCTCCGGCACCGAGTCCTGTATCGTGACGGGGTACTCGACACCAGGCACGGGGACAAACGTAGGGTATGGCCTCGATCGTTCAGTGCGGATTGCTTGCTTCGTGTCTCGAATGTTGAAGAAAAGTGGCAATCTGATGTGATTGTTTTTCAACGCCGTCTTGCCACGAGCATCACTGATCTTGACCACGCTGCCCTGGACATCCGCACATGTGACTGCATGGGCTTAGACATTTGGTGACACATCTTGCAGCACCTTGTAGCCAGGCAAAGCCCCCTTCAGGAAAATCAGGTTGCGAGTGCTTTCTATTCGAAATACCTCGGCGGATGCTTTTCACGGTGCATAGAGGCATGAACCGGCCGGCTGAAGCGCAAACAGGTCAGAGGCCGCAGCTTTAGCATTGACACAGCGAGGATCCGGACCTGCAGCTGGGCGGGAAGTGGGCTATGCAGTGCAGCACCTGTTGCATAACCGAAACTTCTGGCCTTTGTGTCCGGCCATTTTCTTGCCAACCCAAACTTTTCCAATACCACGTTGGCCTGAGAAGCGGGCTGTGCGCATTGCACTTGTGCAGAAGTTGGTTGAGAATCTTTCACGAGCCTCTCATTCACAGGCTGGGCTATCGGCCAAGAGAGCCGGCAGAGCGGTGGGACTTTTTGTGTCCATGAAAGTCTGAACCGCCACCTGAAAATCCCCAACCTCAGGATCGTGAGTTGGCATGAACGACGTCAGAGAATAAGATATCTCGAGGATTCGGAGACTTGGGGACATGCGTTTCATCACTCCGTGATAGCCTCGGCCCTTGCTCCAGCCAGATACAAAAACCTGGACTCATTCACCAAGGCACGAGCTCTGCGCGAAAGTGTTTGTCCGTCTGAGGCTGTGGCCCACTGTCCAGGGACAAAGTGTCTCACACTTAACTCAAGTCCTGGCACAACCAACGTGATATCAACACGCTTGGAAAGGACTCGCGGCAAGTGCTACATCTTCTCTGGGGTGCACTCGATGCGGCTGTTCAAGCACCGTCTCGGACAGTGTCAGATTGTTACAACTATAGGGGGTATCACATCACCCTGTTTCGAGGAATTGCGCCCGATTTCGCGAGCATGCCCGCGAGACATAGATCAGTCACATCAGTGGCTTCATAAAAAACCAAAATCAGCCACTCCACGTGCGGACGCTCGATTCACAAGAGCACGCACAAGAAACACATCAGTGGCATCACAGCACGCTCAACCAGCCATTGCCCATGCAGGTGTGTCTCTGTTTCTAAGTCCTATGTATGTCTGTCTGTGCACATGTGTCCCCCGCGCCAAACAGTGTGACCGAGACTGGCTTGTCCACAGGGCCATGTGATTAGCTCCGAAATGGACAAGCACCCGTTCGAGACACACACACACACACATCCGTGTCATCACAATACATCATCACCGGTGAAGACACTCGATTCCCACAAGCACCCGTTCGAAACACAAGTGGCATCACGGCACATCGCAATCTGCCATTCCCCATCTAGCCGCTCGATTCGACAAGTGCGCACTCGAGACGCACATGAGTGGCAGCACATCACGTCCAAATCTAGACGCTCGGTTCCACAAGCGCCCACTCGAGCCGCTCATCAGTGGCATGACAGCACAAAATCAGCCATTCCCCATCTAGATGCTCGATTCCACGTGGAACCATCGGATCGTTCACACATAAAAGTGATTGCTTGAAAGCGGCGGTTTCCCGAGCGTGGACGCTCATCGATGCGTATTTCAACCCAGCGATGCGAGATTAAGCGACCACTAGTAACTTCACAGTGCAGTGGGGTCTTGCGAAGCTTTTGTTTCGCAGGAACCGAGCCCTTGGTCGCCAGGCCCTGTGAGCTCCAGCTCCAAGCCCTCGAGATTCCACAGCACTCCGTGTCGTTTGATTTCACCCAAGCATCCGACGGCAAACGCGCCTAGTTTGGAGTATTACCAACAATTTACACACCTGCCAACATGGAGGAATCCCTTGCATGCCTAGATCTTGGTTGCTCTTTGAATGCGCAGGGATCGATCCGAGATCGTTGCTCATGGGCATTGCCATAGCTTTCAAGCGATTTTCGGGCACTGACACTGGAATCAAGGCGCAGGGGAGATGCGCCGAAATTCAGTCACGGAAGAGCAGCTCCTGGTGGCAGAAGACAGTCTGACGAAACGCGAAACCTGAGAGCAAGCGACGCTGCGAGAGCTCACCTTGCAAGCTTCTGGGAGCGAGACTCACATTTGTGGTGCTTCGGCCCAACACCTGCCTTCATGTACGTGCCGATTTCCTGAAGCTCAAAGTCAGAGCCATGAATCCGTGCTGAGGAAGTGGGCACATGGCCGGCCGGCTAAGGCGGTGGATTGATCGGTAGCCGAGCCCAAGCTGCAAGGCCTGGCACCAGACACAGAGGGCGGTCAGCGAGCATTTCTGCATGCCCCTCCTCATAGCCATTCTTCTGCAAAGTCATGCTTTGCCTGCGAAGTGTCGTCTTTCTCATATTAGCTGTCGCATGGCACCTGAAAAAACCATGAACTTAGCACTTGGCACAACGTGCAGCCGGTCCAACTGACAGACGGTCACCATATGCTTCACACCCCACTCCTCAGAGGCAGATCTTGCGACAGCTTCCTCCACTGTTACGTGAGTACGCCGTAGGCTGCATCCCCTGCATCCCTGAACACCTCTTCACGAAGCTTCGACGATCCGGTGGCTTGAGCGTTGACGTGACGAACTGCACTGGGCAGCGTGGTCAGGACTCAAATCCTGCTTAGGCAGACCGGAACTAGCTTCTTTGTCAAAACTCGTGGTGGGGGCGGGGGGGCAGGTGAACATCCGTTGGAGGAGCGTGCCAACTCAGCCAGGACTCGTCCCACAAAGACATACATCCGATTTTGTATGCCAGCCTGGCAGAAATGGGAGATGCTTCCAAGTTGCCTTTTGAATGGGATAGGCAGCATGCAGGAGCACGCGCTTCTCAGGTTTGCGCACTCCGGTGCGCTTGGAGCCCAAGACCGGTTTGCATGGCTTGATGCCAAAGTCGTTCGTCAGCTGTTCCTCATCCAATCTCAACTTCTTATTGCGATCTTCTACAAACTGCAGCCAACACAAAAAAGCTGTGAACACCATAAATGTCCAAGTTCAGCGGCCTTGTCCGGGACATCTGGTGCTGGAGGTCTCCGACGTCCTTCCAGCAAATGGCCCAACCTGCAATGGCAGAGCCAAGTCCATGTCTGCATAAGCGGCATCAGCTCTCCAAATGACATGGCCAACAGCAGGAGGCCTCTTCTGCCACTTAGATGCAAAAAAGCCTCGCTGAGACTGACGGAAAACCTGCTTTCATGCAGAGATGCATCGCAACAGGTTCCAGGCAATATGCTAAATCGCCTGATTTTCAGTGGATGCCAGTGGCAGGTGTCGAAATCGATGGGAGCGATGAGTCTGCAATGCCCATGCCTTGCACAAAAGCAGATTAAAACAAAAAAAAGCTACGCAGCTTTTGGACTAGCATCCTGCCCAGCTGCTTTGATGGGCTGCAGCGGAGTCCGCCACATTCTCGTAGATCGACGATCATGAACGCTTTGGTGGACTAGCGACACAGACTGCTTTCTATTTGTAGAGGCTTGTTTGCTGCTCCACGTGAATTACGATGGCTCACGAATCGCGCAAATTATTTTATCTCACATTACTCGTGTGCTGTATGCTGCAGCGAGGACAGCGAAGTTACTGTGACTGAAACCCTGACTGACTGTCATATGGCACACAGCTGGCAGCAAAGGCTTTCAGCAGCACTGTGCTTCCCTCGACTGCGCAGTGACATGAGGCCAATGCGGCAGGCTGCGCTTATTTCGGCTCGTGATTTGAAAATCAAGGGAGCCGTAGAACGACCGCTGCTGATGTCTCAGCATCAGCCCATTCTACACCTGACAGAATCGCTGAAAGAACATTGGCAGTAGCACTGATAGCGCCGGTTTGTCGCCTTCGTGTACCATTCCGTTGGGCTGGGGCGACCTCATCAAGTGCCGGCATGCGCTGGTAGTCGCTCCAAACATCCCAGAACATTCGTGGCCACTTCATGCCAGGTGACGCATAAACTCAGTCTGCCAGATGCCTTCAATGTCGAACTGATTCTTGGTTGCTACCTGCAGTACCCGCTGAGGGACTCAGCGACTGCTGCGCTGCTGCACCGACCTCGAAGGCTTTGGCACCTCCCTTCGGGTCGCCCAGGCAGAAGATGGTGCTCCCAGATCCAGACATCAGAACCGCCTGCACACTTCGGGGAGACATGCCATGAGACCGACAGCCACGACACGCAGTGCCGTCCTCGAAGTCCCACTCTTCGGCCAAATACTTCTTGAGGTCACGAAGTTCTGGGGAGACCTCCAGTTTGCCCAAATGCTGAGCGGAACGAGCTCGAAGTTCAATGTGACTTGACGTCTAGGAGATTGCCCGTGCGATCTACTTCACGATGTGACACAACATCCGTGTGAAACCGGATGCCAAGTGCCAGCTTCACAACGAATGCCTCCGCATAAGATGAAGTCGTTGTGATTCAAAACTCGAATGCTGCAAACAATGTCAACATCTGTGCTGCAGCTGATAGGCTTGGAGAACCAGCCGTTACGGCTGGACTGACTTATTGGATCTAAGTAAGTGGACATCTATTCGGCTCCTGCAGTGGGTCATTAGACAACGACGAGCTTGCTTCCGCAGATATGTTCACAGGCAGTCTGCGGTAATTGGAGGTTCCAGTGCAGAGCTGCTGAGCTGAGGAAGTTCTTAAACTTTACATGCCCATGACACTACGTGCTGCACCCGAGTTGAAAAAGCCTTGAAGGCTGGCTTCTCCAAATCGTTCACCCAGGAGATGTGCGAAGTGCCCTCGCAGACAAGACAACTCGACAAATCAAAATAGCCCGTTGCTCAAATCTCAGCACCTACAATGCAGCTATGCAAAGCCTTATCTTTGAAGGTCTGCAGAAGCTCCTTGTCGTCTGAAATTTGACGGAGCCGTGGTGAAAAAGCTCACCATCGGTTCAAGCAGAATCCGGCGCCATGCGAGTCCTCTGGGTCTGTCGTACTCAACGCTGAAAGGTCCATGGCCTGAAGCGAAACCGTTTTCTGTCGGTACAGCTGCACAGTGCCGCGCCTGAAACACCTTGCCGGTGGACAGGCCGTAATTCGGCTTGACCTGAGCTTGGCATGCCATTTTCGGAGCCTGCAAATGCCAGCAGAGGCATCTGCCAAGTAGACGCTAAGGCCATCCTTGATGGGAAGACCGTCGATCGGCCTTGGGGCCAGAGGGAAAGCGCCAAGCTCCCAAAGTCAACGTGCTGCAACAGAGCGGCGTCACAATCTCACCTCTTCCAGTGCAGTATGCAGTGCCTTACAGTCCAAGATGATCAGATGCTGCAGCACTTCAACACTGCATACAGCACGGAAAAGGTCTGACCGTCCAAAAGCATGCCACGATACCTTCTGACAGGAAGAAAGTGGCATCCTTAGTGCTACCCTTCGACGAAGACTGGAAGCGACAAGCGCAGAGAACTGTATGTTAGGAATCAGATCAGCTTTGCAACCTGAGAACTGCGCAGATCCAATCACCGGATCGTCGCCCCAGCTGATCAGATCCTGAAAGGCCCCATCCAGCTTTGACTGCATCAAGGGTTGGCCGCACTGACTGCCTCTGGAGTGGCCGGGCAGCCGCACAGCTGGTTGGCACCTCCATGGTGATGATTCAAGATGCTCACGCCACAAAACAACAGCCGAGTATGTCTGAGAACAGTTCCGAAAAATGCCGTGGCCGCATTGCTGCTTCCACCTCCCATGCCAGCCTCAGCTGAAATGTGTCGATGAGTGCGATTCTTGCAGTCATGCCTGCCTGTGCTGGTATCTCCTTCTCGAGCGTGACACCGAAGAATCGACGAATGCCACTCTTCTCTCGGAATAGCCTCAACAGTATATGCCCACACGACGATGTATCATGCACTACGTCGTCGGGACTCGGACTTGAGGGCGCGGATGACCAGGTTGGAATCATCTACTGGCCTGAACTTTAGTCAAAAACGCGGCGCCTAGGAGAATTCATGGCAAGTTGTAAACGAATCTGAAGGGCTCGAGTGAGCACACTCATTGCTGACGCTGGACACTCCCGGCAGGTTGCACTCCAGCCGATCCTGCTCTGCATTGTCTGGCAGCGCCTGCACACATCCCAAAGATGCGAATGACACCCTTCTCAGAGGATCCAATCCACGAAACCACAACAGGAGTGGGGGATTTCTTCTAAGACCAAACATGTTGAACATGGGACTCTGAAAGTCTGCACGACACAAAATGCCACCTCCAGCACCAGCTTGTCACCAAATGCCACCGTGTGGAAAAGTGATGCCAGATCATGATACCCATCTGGTCGTCGCCTGATGATTCGCAAAAACAGGTTTACCTTCGCCGGCGAGAAGAGCTCAACGCTGTCTGAAGCGCGCAAACAGGCTCGGCTCGTTGGGATGAAGACGCCACTTGCAATTGCGCTAAGGCCGAAGACTGCGACGCCGACGCCACTTGCCAAAGTGCTTTTGCTCCCTTGCTTTCGATCCGAGCTATCCCGCTCCCAAGCACAAGGTGTAGTTCTCGGAGCAAGGACCGAAAAGGCATCCTTTGAGACGGTGGCAAGTATAACCGCAAAGCTGCAAGTGAAGGCCAAGCGCGGAAGCCTGCCAATTCTCCCCATGATCTTGCGAATCTTTCACATGCCAAGCATGTCAGGCAAATGCCTCGAGCCAATACCGACCAGCAGGAAGGGAGTTTGGGCAATGGCTCTTGCTGCGGTGTGCCTTACAGCACGTAGTTGTTTCTGAGATAGCATTTTAATGTGCCACTTTAGGAATATGAGCCTGGTGAAACTCCGCTAGCCGATCACAAGACGTTTCGGCACACAGAGCCGATCTTGGGATGCAATAGCGTCGATCTCGGCAGCGCTGCTAACAAGCAGTTAAGACACGCTGAGGGTTGGGGGAGTATGATTTGCCGGATGGCTTCAGAATGCTTCAGACAGAACTGCTCAGAACGCTGCCAATCGTAAGAGAGATACTTCTGGCAAAGGCTGAGCTTTGAATCAGCTAGCTCCAGAGCACTGATCGCAGCTCACTGCTGCTTGCACTCCTGAGCGTCTGCCTGAAATCGTGTCAGATTCACTGGGCTTCTTTCTGCACAACGGTTCGATGTTCAGCAAGAATCTCGTGCCACTTTGCCTTCTTCTTCGGTCCTTTTCGGCCTGCTTCCTGCGGCAAACTCCACACAAAAGCCCGCAGGTTTTGAAAGGAGGTCATTCATAGTCCACACTTCATGTCCTCCTCCTCCAGCTCCACGTCCTCGTCTTCCTCCTCTTCCTCCTCTTCCTGGCGAGGGTGTGGTAACAACGTCTGCATCTTTCCCTGCTAGAAACTGCTAGAAATGCTTGCTGAAACCCATCCTCATCATCGTACTCATCATCTGGGGCGGCTTCGCCGGTATACCAGCGAACGGCAAAAGGAATGATCTGAGTGCCTTCGCTGCGGGGCTGGGCAAGCGCGAAAAGTCAGCAGAACGACCAAAAAGGGCAACTCGAAGATGCGCAGCACTTGCCGAGAAACGAAGCGCCATGCCACAGTCATAGGCATTTTCGAGTAAAGCCTCTACCATCTCCTCCTGCAGGGAAAAACAGCATCACGCAGCAAAACTCGATCCTGTTGTGAATTGAGCCGTCTTCACGCAACTCAGTGCCTGCTCCATCTCATCGTCGCCCATCTGCATGCAAAGCTGCTGGGTGTCAACGTCCTTCGGCGGATTCAACGATCGGCTGATGACAGTGACACGAACACTGCCAGATGTTGGCTAAAGCTTGTGCCCGGGCGGTGCTTTCAATGGGAAGTGCAGCCGTGCACGTAGAACAGTACAGTACGGGGAGGATGGGTATCCTCGACAGTTTGTTGCAGACTGAGCATCACAGCATTTTTGGAGCATGCAATGAGCATGCAATGCCCTTCAGTCCTCGGGCAGCTCGTCTTCGTCCTGCGTTGCAGAGCTCTTTATGGAGCTGGCTCGTTCAACAAAACACGAAGGTTTGCCACATGCTAGCTTCAGTCCTGCAGACTTCGAAAGAAATCGCGGAAGAAAGATTTGCGAGGCTCCAGCAGCTTCTGGCAAAGCTTCACATTCAAAGTTCTGGATCATAAGTGCTGTTCAATGAAGTTCAATGTAGATGAACAAGACGAGGTCATGAACCGCAACAGCATGAACAACCACACTATCAGCTGGCAAGAATAGCGGCTGCAAGCGGGCGAGCCCCATCTCAACCTAGACGGTGTTGGGGAGGCGCCTCTTTGTGGGATTTCTTCTTTTTGCCTCCTGGCATGTGTTGACAACGTGCAGTGGAATCTTGCCTGCGAGCTTCAACCGTGGTAGAAAGATCGCCTTTTGCAGGCTTGCCCATCGTGACATCCTGGCCTGCCTGGCAGTGTTGCATCGCGTGCCAGCGACATGCACACGGTTGTTTTGACCGCACATCTTGACAACACCTTGGCATCGAGGTTGGGCCTAGGGCCTAGACGCAAAATCGAAACAACTGAGTTGCTCTTGAGCCTTCGAGGGTCTGCTTTCACAGACAACGGCCTTTACACGTTCACGGAGGACTCTGTAATATTGAGCGACCTCCTTGTTTATTGCACTAGTGGCTTCTACAGTGTAAGGGCGTGTCTGCCTGTGGACCCACGCAGACACATTGCCCATCCCCCGCTGGTCCATGCCAGCCTGCATTGCATCGTGTTTTTATTTACCAAGAAGTCTCACCCCCTGTAGAGATGGGTTCCGCGTTTTCCGTAGTACTTGTTATTTTTTCCTGGTCCTAGTTGCTTCTCTTTTCCTTTAGCACGATACCCCTTTAATTCTGGCTGGCACTGATGGTTCCCAAGACACGGAGCTTGCGCCTTCGAAAAACATATGCACACATGCCCAGCAACACAGACACAACTACACACATACATGCAGAAGCATATGAACACAAGCGCGTCGACAGTTCTATCCATCTAGCTATCTACCCGTCTGTTTAGTCATATCTGTGATGGTGCACATTTATATATGAAAACATCATACGCACATATTATGATGTACATGTAAGCATGGATAGCTATTGGGGTTTAGGTTTGTTTGAGGGCAGCTGTCGAGCGTGAGGCTTTGCTCGCCATCACCTGCGTTGAGGGTTCTGCCACCCATCGTTCTCTTACAGGGTCTCTTTGAGGGCTTTGGGTTTGCCACCCCTGAGCCCCTGCTAGAGTATCCGTTGCAGGGACGCACGCAATCACACCGTTTATGGAATAGAGCCTAGAAGGTCTGAACTTAATAGGAACTAATCACCAATCACCTCTTCCAAAATTTGTGTTTTGCGAACTATTCACTCATTCTTGGGTTTCGGGTTGGCCATACATGCGAACCACTCACTTCTTTTGAAGGCTTGGTTTTGTGGGATCCCTGCCGAAGTGCTTTCCCCCCACGTGCTGGCACACTTCAACACCATGGCCAAAACGTTTCCCCCCGCAAGCACTGCTATCTGCATCCACCACCATCCTCTGTTAATAATCCCTTCTCCCCAATATCAAACGCCCCCCCCTAATATAAAAACTCAAATCCGGCGGTTCGGCTTTTTTTTTACGGGGTTTTCGGCAGGAATAAGGGGAAGGGAGGGAGGGTAAACCTTAAGCCCTTAACCCCTAAGCTCTAAAGCCTTAAACCCTAAACCCTAGAGCCTTAATTCATTAAGCCCTAAACACCCTAAGCCCTGAGCCCTAAGCCCCTGAACCCTGCAGCCTCGGTCCTTTGGGTTTAGTACTACTCTAGTCTTGGCTGTATTAAAACTCATACAATCCCTAGGCCCCCCTAATGTTTTTAATTAACTTTCAAATGTGTGCCCGAAACCGCAACATCCCGGGGGCCGGCAGTTTTTTTTATTGGGGGGGGGGTTAATGCAAACTATGCACCGCGCGGCAGCTGGAGCCCCGCGGCAGCGCTTTTGCAGCGAGGCGTGCGCGAGCGGATGCTAGCCAAGTCTTCGTTTCACCCAACGTAACAACCCCATAGCCCGTAGTCATACCAAGCGAAATATAATATACAGTTTGTAACATAACATAAGGTGGCCCATTTCCTCCGTCTTTTTTGTATTAACTACGTCTTTTTTCGCTCGTGAAAGTCCTCGTCTTTTGGACCAGCATTTTGGGCCTGCTGGGACAACTTTCGGCTCTGCTGTCCCCGCTTAAGGGTAACAGTTTTGGGACGACGTTAGAGTCAGTTTAGGGTTTGCTCTGCCTTCCCGCTTTTAGAACTTCATTTTCGGGACGATTTTAGGTTCTGCTCTGCCTTCCTCCTCTTTTCAGGGTCTCATCTTCGGGACGACGTTTAGGGCTTCATCGTGAGGATCACTTTAGGCTGTGATCTGCCTTCCTGGCTTTATGGTTTCATCTTCAGGACATCTTGTGTTCTTCATCAGGGTTTGCTCTGCCTTCCTCGCTTTCTTCGGGAAGAGTTTAGGTCTTGCTCCGCCTTCCTCCCGTTAGGGTTTCATCTTTGAGACGACCTTGAGGCTTCATCTTTAGGGCTTGCTCTGCCTTCCTCGCTTTTCGGTTCATGTTCGGACGGCTTCAGGGCTTCATCTTGGGGACAACAAATACACATGCAACACACAACAACCAGAACAACAACAAACAGACCACAAAGACCAGGAAAAAACACCGTTACCACAACAAGAACGCAGTTGACCCCCCATCTTATGAAATCAATACATATATGCATATGTATGTATGTATGTATGTATGTATGTATATATATATATAATATTTTTTGCACATCTAAGACATGTGTTACAAGGAATCGCATATATGTATTCTTCTTCTTCCGTACGCTACTCGAGGTCTCGAGCTGAGCGTTGCCCAGCNNNNGTGCTTAGGGTTACTTCCACTATTTTAACAGCGGCTCGCCTACTTTGCTTAAGCAAGACGCATATATGTATGTATGCATGTACGTACGTATGTATGTATGCTCCAAAGCCCACCTCGACACTGGTTGTCCTTTGTCCACATCAAAATCCACGAACTACTCCTGGAGCTCTCTTGACAATCCCTTTGGTTTTCACTATACAACCAGCCATCCAAACACAGAGCCCATCCCCTTACAAGTAATCATACTAAGTATTGCCCATGACCCCTTTTCTACTAATCATACCAAACATTGCCTATAGCCTCTCCGAATGCTAAAACGAATTCTAGGTGTTGTCATACCCCTTTGCGCTGCTAATCATACTATGTTTCGCCCACAGCCCCCCGAATGTAAATAATCATGCTGAATTTCGTCATGCCCGTTGTACTAATCTTACGATTTCTTGTCCACAACCCCTTCCAGCACAAATACCGACCCAAATGACCATGTTAAATATTGCCTATACCCTCTTGTACTAATAATCATATTCCGTTTACCTACTGCAGCCACCATCACAATCCTCCAAGAAAATCGTCTTCAAAATCGATATCATCATCGTTGTTTCTCTGATGGAAACGCCATGGCAATCTGCATCATCGGGGTGCTGTCCCGAATATACTGCCTAGAACCCACACCATCCATGCACGTATAAGCATACGAAAATATACGAAACATTGCTTATGATCCTTTTACTATCATCCAAGCACAGACAGTCGTGCTAAAGTACTGCCTTTGACCCCTTACATTTACACCAAACCATCGATATTGATTACTCGCACATTAAAGCACCATTAGGCATTTTATGGCTTTTGACAAAGCCTCCTTTCAATAAGCAACATGATGATTCACATCACCACCATCATATGAACCTGTATCACGACCACCAAGTACTTAAGCCATATAAGAAACGTCATCACAATACAGCATTCAAACCCAGCCCAATATCCATGTTCATGACAGATTTTTACCAATGCACGAGATCCGGTATCATGTTGAAACATGCATCCTTCCATGGACTGCCAGCTGCATCGCCAATCAGGCCCAGTTCATCTCATTTAGCTCCAAACACACGTACTAGTTGTGAACATACTGTTTAAGTACCACATACATGGGATCCGTCTAGTACTTAGGTTATGTGATCGAATATTCCTATGGTATCAAGGTAATCTAGTGTTCGTGTCTTTTGACAAGTATGCCACTTGCTCAGAAGAAACCTTGAACGAGTATTGCACATAATGGTGTTGAGCTACAATTCTGAGCATATGAAGCTTAACACCTGTGTAGGTATTCATTTGATGTCTAGTGTCTAGTTGATATTCAATAATGATTATGTCAAATTATGTCGCTGTGCTGTGGAATGTTTCTTTGCGGTGCGGTTCTGCTTCAAAAAATATGAGTACAATGCACTGGTAGCTCAATATTCGGACAAAACATCCCGACATGTGGCACACCTAATGGCCACCGCGCTGAAATACTAAAGAAGATAATCTACGTCCTATGATCGAAGAAGTTTTGTTGAGGCCGTCATACATGAGCATCATTTTTGTAGAGGCAAATTCTACGAGTTTTGATCCATCCGAAACCTTGTCGAACATCCTGCGAATTAGGATTTAGGATTTAGAGTCAAGGATATTCAAGGATTTAGGATGTAAGATTTAGGATCCATGACCTAGAGCCGGTACTAGCCACATTCTAAAGAAGGCTTTAGGGTTTAGGAACTAGAATGCAACATGTAGGAGTTACAATAGGCTTCGGAAATCACTAAGGTTTACATGTACATAAGTAGAGAAACTTTGAGGGTTACTGTTTAAGTTTTAGGGATTTAGGCTTAGGGGTTTAAAAGTTAAGGTCTAAATTGGCGAGGGCCAGTAGAGCACTTGCCTGTGCAGTCTCTTTGTGGACCTTTTCCCAGCCAGGATCCCTTTCGTTTGCGAAATATGTTTTCAACATTCGCTTCGAACCCACTTAGTCACATTTCGTTCGATGCTCCCCCCGTCCCAATTGTTTTTGCTACAAAACATTCGGTTCATTGTTTAACTTCCTGTCCGTTTGCTACGATTACCTTCGGTAGCTTTCAACGTAGGTAATAAGCACATGCTCTAGCACATGCTCTAAATCGCGATTGGCGTAAGCCTAAACTCTCATACGACGTGACATCAGAACCAAATCTTACGGCATATACTTGACTCAGGGCCATGCTGATACCACTGAGCCGTAACTGGTTAAGGGATATCAGCTGTGCTTTAACTTGCTGAAGAAATACTGTAATGTCACATGATTTCTGGGATCTAGGATTTAGGATGTTTAGGATCCAGGATCGAAGGTTTTAGGATCTGGGATTCAGTAGGGTTTAGGAATTATTGCTACAGCCCTGTGGCCCTGAACCCCCGAAACTAAGAGAGTCCTCGACATCGCTCCGTGCCCAATGTAAACGAATGTTTCGTACAGGCAAATTCTACGATTTTTGATCCATCCGAAACCTTGTCGAACATCCTGCGATTTTCCAGTACTGGCCACATTTTGAGGAAGGTTTTAGGGTGTAGGATTTTTGGAACTATGATGCAAGATTTAGGAGTTACAGTAGGCTTTAGGATTTGGGATTCGATGGCCCCCAATTCTGGCCACATCTTGGGAACACGAAAATCATTAAGGTTTACCTCTAGGGTTTAGGGTTTAGGAGTTTAGGAGTTTGGGGTTTAAGGTTTAAGGGTTTAGGTTTAAGGTTTTAGGGTTTAGGGTTTACGGGTTTACAGGTTAAGGTCTAAATTGGCGAGGACCAGTAGCGCACTTGCCTTTGTACTCTCTTTTTTGACATATGGGTAGTTCTCTAAACTAGGGTCCCGTTTATTTCGGCATTGACGCCAGAGGCTTTGGGCAATTCTAATTCTCAGAAAAAATTCGCTCGGGCCGCGCCAGAGAACCATTCAAAGCAAACTTGACTTGGGACAGGGATTTGGCGGCGATCGCATTCTTTGCGCAAGCATTCCAGAGCTTGCTCGTAGACGGCGCCCGTTTCTCTGCGAGAACAGACGCATATCAAAGGAAAGCAACTTGTGCGCCATCTCCCTTTCGGGTTTCCGCATCAGCACACATGCCAAAATAGCATAGCCTGAAAATCATGCCATTCTCGCGGTAAACTCACGCATGCTTACAACGGACACAAATGTCAGGAAAATGCGAGAAAAACACTGCCAACGCACACGGGAAGCAATATCCCAAGATTTCCACCCGGAAAGTGGAACCTGCTGTCAAGCACCATGGATCCCTGCTCGTGGGCCTGCTGGAGTGCCGCGAAGAAAGGCACCAAGAGACAGATCCGCGTGAATCTACCAAGGCCAGTATCCCATATGCGCAAAGCAAAGCTCACCGTGGTCGGGGTCCTGCTTGTCGGCCGCCCGTTTCCAGGTGGTGTAGCCGAGCTTCCTTCTCGGCCAGCCCAATATGGCACTGACCACGCTGTCCAGGACATGGGGCTTCTTCAAAACTGCCAGACGAATGCGAATGGCGCTCGGAGTTGCCTTCAAGTTTTGCTGGGTCAGAAAATCAGCAGCTTCGTGCACCACGTTACGCTCTTCGACTGTAGCCTGTGGCCTCTTCTTGCCCCCTTTCGCACCTTTCCCTTTCTGACCGGCTTTCTGACCCGCGGAGCGCGTGCTGGTCCGCCCATCACCGTTGCAATCACCAGCAGAGGACACTGTCAATTTCGTGAATGCCACCATCGCTGTCAGAGGCAAGAGACTCGAACGTCGTGTCGCTGAAGCGGTGGCACCCTTCGCACTTGTAGCAAACGGCAGTCGTCTGCATCTGCATTGAAGGCTGAAGATAAGTTCCAGCAACCCAAAGTCTGGCGCTTCTCGAACATCTGTTACTTTGGGGCAGACGAAGGTATCAACGACACAGAATTTCAAGCTGCGTTTCCCTTGTCTTGCAGCATCCGTCTCAGCCATGCCAACGATGAAATCTACGGCTCTGCAAGCAGCTACGACTTCAATCTTGAGTTTGCTGAAGGAGTTATGATTGCTGAGAAAGAAGGAGACAGTGACCGGCAGGAATAAAGAGAAAACTCACAGGCATCACAGCGAAAACCCGCCCCAAGAAGTGCGCCCCAAGTCAGCCCCACTTTTTCAAGGTTTCATGGCACGAAATGTTGCGATAATGGGCTCCAGCCGCCCCATTGCAAAAGCTTAAAGTAACCAAAAGAAATGCACCCGCAGGCCTGGCTGCTGGCCATCGAGGCTGCCCACGCAAGCCCGGCCGGCGGATGGCTTTTTAAAACCCTAAACCTGTCGTTTGCCCGCTGCTTGCCTCGATCTCCGAGAGGCTGCGAAGAATTATATCAGAAGTAAAGCAAAACTTGAGCACACGGCTCCTCCAACAGCAGCTGTCATGCCAAACAGAGAGGAAGCGTGGTATGCGTTTGCGGGTTTCCTGTTGCTGTAGCCTGAACCTTGCCATGGTAGGTCCGCCCCTTTCCGTTTTGAGGTGGGGGATTAGCCTGGGTGTGAGAACCTTTGAGTTGCCATTTACAATGAAAAGGTGTGCTTCTGAGGTGAAGGAGTAGTATGATTTGGCGTGGGTTTGTGTGAGGACAAGGACGTCGAGCCGTTTGTCTGCCAAGACCTCCTGATGTTTAAAGAGTTCTGCCACACCCTGGACGTTTTTTGTGCTACTGCGTGAAGACAAGAATCATAAGCTATCGGCGGTGTAGCCAACTTTAAGTTATGGTTTTTGTCTTGATGGTTCTTTGGCGACTGATGAAGAACCTAAATTCTAAACATTTTAGCTCTTGTTTGTTTGTCGCACCTTTGAGCTGCGTTCAAGGGATTCCCCTGTTGCACGGTCTTCCTGGAAAACGTTGGCAGTGTAATCCCTCCTGAGAGCCTGCGCGACTGCCTGTACAGGCGGCGTCTGTGGCACCTAGCTCTGGAACCCCCGTCCTTGGGGAGGGTTGGGCAGGGGAAGTTGGGGTTTGCACTCTTCTAGGCGACAATCGACGTGCCTCGTTGTGAAGCCGTGCTGGACTATGAGCGGTTTGGCTTTGCATTCTGTGAGTTCTTGAATTACGCGGTTTGGTCCTGCGCTTAGAACGATAGAACCTATCTCCCGTTTGGGTCAGAATAGAAACCCTATCATCGGTACGTGCTTGTAGCCTATGCGGCTCTAGGGAAGGGGGTGAAATCGGCGGTGTAGCCCGAGGGCCTCACACCTAACAACAATGCTTCTCTAGACAGCTTGAGGCGGTTTGCAAAAAGTTTCTCTATGGCTTCATGTTGGTCTCTAGGAGGGTCCCTGTTACCATTGATTGAGTGCATCAATGCGTTCCTTGTGCGTTGCTGATACTGTGTTTGGGCCCAAACATTCAGCATCCGCAGCAGCACCCTTATGCAACTCAAGCTTCCTTTGGAATTGTGGGGAAGCTGGGGGGGCACGGACGTGGAAGCCCTTCGCCGCTGACTGGGCATCGCGCCGTAGCGGTGCACCCCCACTGCCGCCGTATGCTGTCATGAACTCTTTGGGAAGATCGCTGGGTCTCAGCCGCTCAAAATAGCCGTGAGCCCACATTTGCGCTTCTCATGCACGCGATTCTCAAAAGCAAGCCAATGAAGGTTCTCCTGGTGGATTGCAATACGGTCGTCGAGCGTTGCAACCACCTTCTCAACTTGATTGATATAGTGGAAAAGCTCCGGGCGGATTAACCCGTCGTGGTAGGCCCTACTCGTTTTGAGCACGTCAGCACACGTTGTAACCGTTCCGGAGAGCCAGGCCTGGACCGCGTTGGCGTCGTTGATATCACGGATTCGGTGGTAGATCTCCCATTGCAGCGTCCGACTCCGGCTCTAGTATACAGCATCGACCCAGAAGCCGACAGGGCCTTCCGCCTGTATTGTCGGTGCTGAAACCATACACGGGCTGGTTGGCAACATGTTGCTGCAGCCCCAGCTGCTGGTGCGCCGCTGTAACCTCCTGTCGAAGAGAGCGCCCTGCCTTCCATTGCCGATCGAGGCAAGCTTTCCTGTGAAACTTGGGGCGGTGTACTCCCTTGAGGAGTCACCAGCAAAAGACTCGCAGCGATGAAACCTTGCATTTAAACTCCGAAATAAATCCTGCAAGTGGGAATGAAAACCATCCCCACGAACATGCACATGCGCCGCTGGCCATGCAAAAGCTGGGCCGTCTTTCGCGGCGTCTTTCACAGATCTTTCGAGAACTTTCGCGGAAAACTTACGACGATTTCCCCAAAACTGCGTAGGCAAGACCTGCTCACGAGTTTGGTTTGAGGCAGCCAGTGCCCACACAAGTCCATGGTTTCCAAGTCCCAAACCCTAGCTTCGGGTGTACTGCGGTACTGGGCACTAAAGGGTACCCCCACAGCATGATGGCATGTTCTTTATGGGTCTCATGTGTCCCAAGTCTGTTACGTGAACACCTTCGCGGATTATCCTTTCGCGGACCCATCGCAGATCTTTCGCGGACACAGTGTTTTACATCAAAAAACCGTTTTGTATAAATCCGAAGACAAGGACCTTTAGATCAATGCTCATGTGTGTGTGTGTGCTTAAATCCCATATACACAATGATTAACCCATAATGTAAAATTTCTTACAATACGTAGCGCGATGAGTCATGCAACATATGACTTCAATCGTGCTATGATACAGTAAACTCTAACACATCTCTTGTTGACAGAACTTTATACTTTTCTTGTACAACAGATGGTATAATGTGTCGGCACATATAGTGCGACACCGCACTACTTTACCATATGAAATGTTAAAGCCCGTGCCGACTTACCACAACATACATAACTTATTGTGTAATAAAAACAGCGTGCAATCCGGAATAGTATAAGAGCATAACGTGGAGCATGCGCTATACTATACCAGTATAGCCCATCTATTGTATGACATATAGCGGATACTATACAGTACACTTCAGTATACTGCTCATGATGCCGTAAATACGGTGCAATCTATAAAAGATGTATGGATCAGTGATACATTTTATTATTTCATGTAACAAACAAGTAAATGCATGAGTAAATAAGTAAACGACAGCCAGTTGCGCGGCACGAGCCTTCCAGTTGGGGCTAGAGCCTTTCAGCTGTTTGACCTTGACCTCCCCGTTGTAGCGATTTGGCTCGTGCATGTGGTACCTCGAAGCAAGGCACAAAGATGGCAGCGCGCTATGTTGCGATTGTGGAAGCCTGCGCTCCGAAACACTGTGGTCCTTAACAGCTGAGCGGCTCTTGCGATAGTGAACCTCTCAGACAGTCAGCAATTTTGGACGGTCTCCTCAGCTTGAGTCAAGGGGCTGTCTGTGAAGTACGGATTCTCGGCGAAATGGAAAATCAGCCTAAATGAAGGTCAAGGTCACGCGTTGCCTCAACGGAGTGGTTCAAATATCTCGGGCCGCAACCGGAAACCCTTTTCTGCATCCTCCTTGTCCAGATCCTCTGCTTCAATCGTCCTGGCAATAAAACGAGTCAGAGCTTATGCTTCGGTAAAACACTCCAGCATCGATGGTAGCAGAAGTCGCCTGAGGAACTCAAGCACAGGTATGTCGTAAGACTCGACCTCATCCTCGAACCTGGAAGCGCTCCAGCTGGCTAGCTGCGGCTAGCTAGTTTGCAAGCCGTCGTGTGAACATCTCTGATACGTTCTTTTGCACCAAGTCGCGCGGGATGATTCAGCAGGGCCTGGCAACAAATTTGCAGAACACACACAACTAAGGCCAGGCCCTCGTGAGTTCAAAAGGCAATGCGCCTGGACCCAGAATCCTTTTAGTGCTGGCCTGGGCGATGCAAGGCAGACGAGCTTGCTGATCTTCACAGAAAGTCTGGAAGTCTCAGACGTTCCAGTGACTGGGTCCTCGCTTCCTTCCTTCTCGGAAAGCACCTAGGCGGGCGGACGGGGACGTGGAGATCACAAGGTTCAAGGCTTTTGCAAGTGTTTCTATGACTTCGGAAGCTCAAGACAACATAGTTTAGATTCTAGATATCATCAACTAAGACCCTGCACCTTGTCCCGGGCTTCGATGAACGGCGCCTGCTGTGCCTGGAATTGCCGCTTTAGCTTTTGCACTTCCTTTTCGTACTCCTCGAGACAAATGATCGGACATGGATCTGATGTTGCAATGCACACTTCATTTTGGGCCTTCTGAACTGCCAGCATCTCGTCATCCAGCCTTTTCAGCCTCGCTTCCGCAATTCAGCCAGCTCCATCCTACTGCTTGGAGGATGATATCTTGCAGCTGTTTTTCCGCCAAGAATCTCGAGAACAATCGGCGGGCTGTCGGCTTCTGCAGGTGCATTGGCATTCGCCTCTCGTCGGGAAGCAAGGAAAATCTCTCAGCTTCTACAACTACAGACCCAGCACGTCTTTGTCGCCACAAGCCAGAGACCTAAGGAGTCGCCCAGACCAAGGCGCAAAGAGCGCAGGTTTCAGGGTTTGTTCCGCTCCTTCCAGTTTTGGGACCTGGGGTTTGCCATACTGCACTGTTTTCGGTCTTTTTGACCTTCCTGGCGAGGAACTGCTTGTGAGCAGGCGAAAATCATGACAGGGGTGTTGACGGTGATGACGACGATCCTAGTGATAAAGACGCTGGTGACGGCGAAGGTAGTGATGATGATACGCAGCAAGTTGACGAGGTGGATGATGATGAAAATATTGGCCATGGTAGTACTGCTAATCATAGTGGTCAGGAGGATGACAATGATGACGACGATGATGCCGACAGGTGAACTTGTTTGCCGGAGAGATGGGGACTCTTGAAGAGCATCAGCCATTGGCCATGGCATCAAGCTCGCACGGGCTGCTACGTAGCTTCAAATCAGGTTGTTAATTAATGACGGGAATAGCTCGGCTGTGCATGGGAAAAGCATAGCTGGTTCCTTCCGTTCTAGGCTCTCCAAATCCAAAGTTCTTCGGCAATAGCTGAACCGCTGATGCATCGGTTTCGCCCTCGTTAATGGCTCATTACGCTGACTTTGAAAGGAGGTTGTGGGTAGAGGCTGTTCGCCAGGCACCGCAACTAAACTCGCGAAACAGAAGGCCGATGTTCCTGAAAGCTTCCAGATGCCCGTCAAGCAGTGTTCTGCAGTGAAAACCACTATGTAGCACAGCCTGTCCTGCCATAAGCCGATTTCTTGTCGGGAAGTATTCTGCTTGCACAACCCTGGCTATGATTCCCACCAAAACACCAGAGGGAAAGGGCCGTGCAGGAGATCTAATCACGTCTCAGCTACTCCTTGTTATTCTGATGCACCAGCAGCAGTTGCCTGACTTGCTTTCATGATTTGATGGTTGATAACTCAGCCACCGTGTGCTGCCACATACGGCTATGCCACGCCTCCGTAGTCGACATGACGGGAAATGAGGCAGCAGTCTTCCAAGTTAATAAACAGCCAGACTGCGTCACGAGTGGGGCTGACTGTCCTCATGGCTGCTCGTGTATGAATTCTTATTGTTACATCGAGCTCCCGAGCATCTGTACAGCAAATAAGTTGTTGGACTGGACCAAGAATGGCTGCTTCATGAGGCGGCCAACTGGATGCGATCTGCTCACGTTCAAGACGACGAGTAGTCAGAGCAGGTCATTAAACCAGCATCCGAACGCAACCGCATTTTCGATTTGCAAAGTCATCAACTCAGTCCGTGATGAGCCAGCCAGTGGTCATGTGCCTGGCACCGTAGCACTCTGGTTGCGAAGCGACATGGGCATTTTCCTCTAGTGGACCTGCACGAATTGAAAAACTCGTGTGGCGATGGAGGACTGGTCAGGGTTCCTGGCGAATGGTCAGCAGACTGATCACAATGAAAGGTGCATCGCGGGCGCGCTAAGCCCTAAAAGTCTAGGTTATGCAAAAGCGTCAGACATTACATGCCGAGAACTCTTGTCCGGATGCCACTGCAGCCGAATGGACTTGAGTACCTGGACAAGCGGTGGGGCTGCGAAAAGAAACAGAGCAGAAGTGCCAGAACCGCCTTCTTTTGTTTGGAGAATGGCTGCTCCAAGAGCGCTGCCATGGCCTTGGCCACCTCAGCAACATGTCTCAACCAAAACACAAAAATCACAGTGGCAGACGTTGTGGCCTCCGCCTCACCAGCTGCAACTTCTCTGTCCTCCTGCGAAGCGTCGGCGCCTGGTGAATTTCTCAGGAGCGTCCGAATGCGGTGACCCTCGCCCAGACTTAGTTTTTGGCTGGGCGTCGACGGACTGGGCCTGTGGAAAGCGGCAGTGTCAGCCAAAACTGCCTCAATTCTTGCATCTGCTGCCTGGGCGGTTCTGGTGGTAGCACAGGAGGTTGGATCGGGGGAGGCTGTGGGTCCTGCACTGGAACTGCTGCACAAGCTGGTCAGCATTTCCACAAAAATGAACAGCAGGTCACCTCTCCTCGACAGCCTCAACCTTTGGAGGCTCGTTTTTTGCTGCTTCGTCGGCTTCGTCGACTTCAACCCGAGGCATGCGCGGTGGAGCCTCGTAGTCATGCGTCGATTTCCAGTCACAAAATCTGCTCACGGAAGAAGCAGAACGGGGGTCAATGAGGGTCCACTCCCAGCCGGGCAATGTGGTCGTGGTCAAGACAAGACAGCCGATTGTGACTTGGGACTAAGTAAGCAAACTACCACGGTCTGTTAAGCAGTTTCGTGTTGTCAAGCAGTCAGCTACACACCCACAGATCCACGCGTCAAAAGAACCAGAGCTAAGCTGCATTCAGCTGCACACACTGTACTCTTCCTCTTCCTGACTCGCGCTGGTCGAGGCCCGCTCGAAGCGCTCGTTTGGACGAAGCTTTTTCTTCTTGGACTCGCCTGGAGCCGACGGCCACGCCCTTGTTTCGTGCAGCAACAGCTGGGGACCTGTAGGATTTGGTCGCTGTCGAGCTGGTGGGAAGCTGCGCCAGACCGCCTTTCAACAGCAACAATTCAAATACGAATTCTGATGAAACGGACACAGGCTTAAAACGAGGCCTCTTGCGACAAAGGCTGGCACACCCGGACTTCGGACTCTCCCACGGCCAAGAAACCCTGTCGAAGCAACCAAACTGTGGAAAACTATTTCATGTCGGTACAAATCAATGAAAATTGCCACTGGCTTGATCGCAAAGTGCCTGCGACGCGGCAACCATGACAGCCTGCAAAAGTCTTGAAGACATATCAACCTGCCTGTACGAGACAGCTGTAAAACGTGGTCGTCACCTCCGCCGCTTTGGGATTTGCGAATCGTATGCTGACCTTGAGCCAGGACCGCAATGGCCATCTATCATGTGAGAAAGAAGATTCGCCAGCCAAGCGGCGATTGGTCTGTTTTCACCTGTTGGAACACCTGCAGGTTTGTTGACGGCTTGGCGCTGCTTGACTTTCGATGCATTTCATGCCAAGACCACCACGGACATCTAGCACCGGCCCGAATCGTCGCATGATCTGAGCGGGATGTTTGTCGACGACGTGTCGGTCTGAGATGGTCTGAGAGAATGGCTGGTTGGATAGCGACCTTCACTTTGGAGGCCCAGGTGCAGTCGTTTGCCCCAGGCAGCACCTTCGTTGGCTTCCACAACATGTTTTCTGCCATCTCAGATGTACCAAGGAGAAGCACCACATCACGGGCTCACGATGCTTCCCCCGAATGGATTCGCTCCGGATTGGCATAACTGTCAACATACGATGTCATCGATTCCATTCGTTGGCTGCCTGTTCGGCATCTGCGATTTCGATGAGGCAGTCCGACCGAGCAGAGTCTCCACCTCTGGCAATCGCCGCCTGTGACATGGTACGTGTGCGACGTGTGCTAGCCACGTTCACCGGCCCGGGATGAGCCCATGTTTGCACTATCCTTTCAAGAAGCAAACCTTGGCAACGACAGCCGCCGCGCGCCCAGCCGCCAGCGCGGCTGACCCTGACAGTAGTGCTGACTGATGACAGATTGCCCTCACTGCAGTTCGAGCTGTGCCTTTTCTTGCGCCTTTGCCCGACATTGCCCTTTTGGAACATTTGATCAGATGTGGCCTATGACTCTGGCGCTGCCACCAGTTCTCATCCTACATCTAAACAGGCTGTCTAAGGCTCTTCCTGACTGGTTGGAACAATATGGAACAATCCGGTGTGGTTTGCTATTTTACTATGTTCAAGTTGCTGGAGCAGAAGCAATCCGCGGGCTCAAGATATCGACAAAGCCTTTCAGCTGTCGGATGCTGGAAGCATTGGCACTGGAAGCTGTTGGATCCTTTAGGGCTGAGCCGTCTTTTCCTGAAGCGGAAAGCTACGGACCAGGCTCAAGCATCTGACAGTCTCTTTCGCCATGAACATCCAAAAACGTTTTTGAAGCTCTAGTTGTCAGCAAGACTGCCGAACTAATGCTCTGCCGCTTTGTCCGAAGAGTTAAATGCCACACCTCGGGGGTCTGACAGCTCCTGCAGGCTCCAGCAGGAGTCTTGCCCCAAGTTTTAGCTACCCTGGCTTCAGTGCCGGGCCGTCCGCCAGGGGCTCGGTGGCATGGCAGAAGATGTGTACTCCCGCCCAGTCTCTGTTCTGGAAAAGTAGGGGCAGGAAATCTAAACATATCAGCGCTAGGCTGCCAAACGCATGCGCTGGGCACGCTGTGTGAATCCACTAGAGCTGTTCCCCTCAGGAAGTGTTCAGCTCCACTCCACCCAGCACCTCAGCTCCAACAGTTTAACAGTTTCCCAGATCGTTTGTTCGACTGAGCTCGGCTCGAGGTCGGGTTTATCTCTTGTCGTGGAAGACTTGCATTTCCTGCGCTCATAGAGGAAGTCAAGTAGAGTGCTGCGTTCAGGACACAGTCCTTGGCAAGCTGAGTCATGGTGGTCAGCACAATGTCATTTGCAGGCGCAAAAGCCTTTGACAGGAGTCCGAGCGCTCATGCGGCAGGCACACAGCGGGCAAATGCAGGTCCGGCCTTCAATGCTTTCGTTGCCTGCAGATCATTTGAGCTTTCAGCGATGCACCCAACCCGACGGTCCGAGCAACAGCCCTGAATCCAACTCTGTTACAGGTGTAATGCCTTCTTCAAAGTTTGCACGAACTCATCAATCAGCTTCCATGCGCGTGTGGCATTGAGGCCGTTGTCCTGTGCTAGCACAGGCTTGCGATAAATTTGAAAGGGAAACTTCAGAACATCTTCGTGGGGAAGTTGCAGAATCTCCTCCAAAAGATACTTCCGCTGCCCATGGATCATGTAGTCCAGGATCCAGCTGTTCGTTGCCTGAAAACTATGCAATGCCACCAGCGACAAATCGCTTGCTGTGCCTGATACTTGTGATCTTGCAAGAAGTCTGATTGCCTCTAGCTCCCGATTGGCATCCGCACCGCTCGGCGGGCAGGCCACTGTTGGGATGGCGTTCAAGTCCAAGTGCAGGACGTTCCTTTGGTTCCGTGTATCAGCGCTTCACATGATCCGTCTGAACAGATGGCCTGCAATTCTTGGACAGGTCCGAGGGTGTCAGGTAGAAGTCACCAGCACCAGATAAAGCCGAGAAGGGTGAACGTGACTTGTACCTTGGCGAAAGAGCACAGGCCGCGACCAGACCTAGTGCTGGGGAAGCTCAGGACGAGGCTTCACGACCTGCTTGAAAAGGGCATTTCCTAGGCCGCTCTTCTTGTCCTTAGGACGATAACTGTCCTGAACATCGAAGTGCAACAACAACCTCTGAGACTTGTGCAAAAGGATCCCCTCGTTCGTCCAGGCCCACGGGAAAACACCTCTCATCTGCGAACTTGCAAAGCCCTAGTTTCACAGTGCGTTGTGGACCCGCCAGCCTTCCGCTAGCAGGAAGTGTCAGGTCAATCTGCCCGTGCTTCCTTCGCTTGCGACTCTGGTCGGATTAGCCAAGTATGTGGAGACCTCTAGAACATGAATGACGCAGAATCTGTTTTCCACTCTGTTTTCTCCTGGTCATCGCCACTGTCCAGGCAAACTCCTGGAAGACTTCAAAGAGCTGGCTGTTGTATCTCTGAATCTCCTGCATGTGCATTCTCGAAGCGGAAAATGCAGAAAGCACAGAGCTGTCGTCCTTCTTTATCCTTGACGGCAGTGGAGGAAGGCGTGGACATCCCTGGCAACTGCTGGAAGAACAGCAGTGACGCATGCAGCTTGGAATTCTGCGAGCTGCTGCCTCCGAAGGCAAGTGCTTCTTTCTTGGAATCCGCTCCTTCGGAATGCTGGGTGGCAGCCTCTGGACATCCGTTGACCATCTCAACCGCTTGGTGGGTGCTTACCACAAACTCTTTGGAGCCTCCGTCGAAAAAATATCCAGCCCAACCTGCTCGCGTAGAGTTGAGCCCCATGCACCTTCTGCAGAGCACTTGGGTTCCGACACAGAGACGAGCTTCACGGTGAGGTGCGTCCGTCGGTCGCCCTTGAGCACCTTGGGAGCCTGAGATAAAAATCAGAGTTCTTGAAAACGCGCCACAGTGGCGCAATCGGCTCTCGCCTCCTCGGTCAGATACTCGTGCAAAACTCCACTGCAGAGGAGCCTGCGACTACGCCGTGCGGAGGGGCAACGAGTGTTGCTGGCACCCAAAGAAGCATATAGCCTGTTTCCTTCCCATCAGATTCATTTCCCTAAGATCTTCTTCGCTCGCCGTTTGGCCTGTAATGCTATGCTTGTCGGTTCTCACCCTCTGGACGCTAGTGAGTGCTTTGATAGCCCTTACATGCATGCCTTACATAGCAAGGGGCAGCTGTATATTCAGCTAGGGCAACCCGACTGGTTGGGAAAACTTCTGTCTAGTGTTGCTTTGGAATTTGGCGCCTGAGTTAGCACCGCTCTTCCAAGACATGAAACCGCATCGCTGCATCTAGTCTGGATTCATCTCAGGCCGGTGTCCTGGAAAGCACCAGGTTGGCCGGCTCAGCCTGTTCCAGGCTGCGGGGAGCAACCCTTACTTCACTGACGCTTGGCACAGTGTCAGCTTTCTTGCTGCCTCGAAGAGATGCGTACACAGATTCGCCAGGTTCCTCACCAAGCAGAGCAAAGTCGCATGACGGTCCCAGACATGGGGCTCCCCCTTTCTGCCTTGTTGAGCCGTCCCGCGTAATGTGCCCTTCCTTGCGGCGATTGTCCAGACTTCACACGCTTCAGGAGCGGGCGCGATCAAAGCTGGGCTGCCAACTTTGTACAGAAGCTCTAAGGTGAACCGCGTGTGAAAGGCTACCTGTTTCTGTCACGAACAGCGCTGCACGTGGACAGCATGGACTTATCGCCGAGATGCTTGGGTCTTCAGCTCTGCGGTCTTGCTTTGAAAGAACGGCAATTCGAACCTGCAGCCGAGGCTTGCCGGACCGGACGCTTTCATGCCTCTCCTTTTACCAGTAACATACCGAGACGAGTGCACAGGTGCCAGACACCGAGTGATGTCTTCAAGAGTTCTGCCCAAGCTGCCTTCCTGGCACTGCAACTCCACAACCCACTGTAACCCACTCTCACAGGAACGAATTTCTCTCTTGGCTGAGCTCCTCCTTGAGCTCCAACATTCTTTCGTACTCGTGCAATGCCTGTGGCCCACAGAACGGTGGGGACATGGACGTTGGCTCTCGTCACTGCTCGGCGTCCGGCCCTCAGAAGAATTGTTGGAGAAAGTGTGAACTCACCAGCCTGGATCCATGAACAAAGCTTTGGTGAACTCCGACTTCTTCCGAGAGACTGCTGATCCCGAGGCTGCAGCTAGGCTCGACAGATCTGACGTGATGAGTCGTTGGATCTTGGCCCAAGACGAATGCACACAGCGGCAAGAGCAAGCAAGAGCGAGGGAGCAGCTACTGATGGCCTTCGTGAATGGCTTGTCCAGGAAGATCACTTGCCCGAGCAGGTCGAAGCCTCGCCTGGAAATCGGCAAGATGCCCTGTGCCGCTTTGCCCTTGCAGGCTCTTGTCCTGCCATGCCCTGCCTCCCTGCTCGACCACTCATTTGCCGGTACATCAGTCCAGTTAGCTCCTGCTCGGTACCGGTCCAAACCCTCAACATGCCAAGCACTACAGTGGTGGATCTCTTCACCCTGTCAAGGAGCGCACTGCACGGACATTTTCGTTTGCTAGATACTGGCAATAGAGCTGCGTCAGCTGACTTCGATGAGCGCTCGTCCAGCGATCTTGCCATCGTTGAGAAGCTTGTAGGCCTCAGATGCCTGGCCCGAGACTTCGATGACATGGCAAGGCTTAGAAGGCTTAGAATGCATGTGGGCCTGGTCCAGTGAGAAGCGCCGGGTGACCGCAGACTTCAAATTCACGCCACCTTTCGCTGCAATTTCCAGGAGCTCGGGCATATCTTTGGAAGCTCGGGCACCTTGAAAAGCCGTCGGTCACGGAAGACATGCAGAAATGCTTCCAGCTTAGGTCTCAGCTAGGGGCTGCGCCATATGAGCCCACCAAGCTGATCCGACGCCGGACCACATGCGTGATTGGGACTTCAGCTCGAGCTTTGGGCGATGCAATGCCCACGTAGCAGGCGCGCCCACCGTCTCGCACCGCCATGATGGCCTTTTCAACATTGCCAGGTGAACAAGCACTGGAAAAGCACAGTTGCATCTGCACGAGCCTGCTCGAAGGTCGCCTTCGATCCAATGACTTCGATGCACACATCGGCTCGGTGTCCATCAGTGAGCTCACCAATTCGTTCAATCACATTCTCCTTCAGCACGCCAGATTAATTTGCCGGTGCATACAGTGTAGGTGAATGTAAGGAACTTGATCATCTAGCGAGTCTTGCCCAAACAAATCAAATCAACGGAGAACCTTTATTGCACAGACAATCGAGCTGGCTACATCCAAATTATCAACATCTCAACTCCATGAACTGCAGAAATGAGCAACAAAACTGGTACTAGTAGTTAGTGGTAGTGGTAGTGGTAGTGGTAGTGGTAGTGGTAGTGGTAGTGGTAGTGGTAGTGGTAGTGGTAGTGGTAGTGGTAGTGGTAGTGGTAGTCGTAGTAGTAGTCGTAGTCGT